CAGCTTGAAAATTAAAACTAAGCTCGTATTTTCGAAACGCTGGAAAGTTTTGATTCAGCCGTCATACGGACTGTTTATTAGCAGAACCGAGTTTCCCACTTCGCAGGTAGAACATTGGATACAAAGATACATTTGATACTAAGTATGTCAACCAAGGATGACAGTATTAGAAGCTTTCTGTGTGTAGTGGGTGTGCCCTGACCACCATAGTAAATGGGCTAAATCCGGTTTAGAAAGACAGGAGAGACATCATAAGGAGGCATATATTTGGTTCAGACACTTGGTGACTTCCAGAGTCCTCGACAAGCGATCGGCTGAAGACTGGTACGCACGTCTCTGGCACAGTTTAAGTGCACTAAATAAAAAACCAGACAAGGGTGACCCCTTTGGTGGTGAAATAATTTTAATTGAGATGTCCCTTCTTTTGTATCTTGCTTTTTCTTGCCAAATTAGCTCTCAAACATGTCTTGGATGGTGTAAATTGCCAGACTGCAAGGCATTAGGGTGAAGAAAGGGATTATATCATGTCAAGTACAATTGCGGAGAGTCCCTTCTCTGGTGACAGTATCACGACGCGCCTGACAGTCTTAAGTGGTCTCCATTGCTTCTTCGCAATATAACCTTCATTTACTTAAAGAACAGAACTATTCGAGGTTCTGCTGCATCTTGGCACTGTCTGACGCAGTAATGCCTTGGAACAGTGTCATTTCAACCTAAAAGGTCCTTCAACCCATTTGCCAATGATGTTCTGTGGTGACTCTGCTTAACGAAAATTAACTGTCTCAAGGAAAATTTCCTTTCTATTTTCTACTCTTCTGTCCAAAATTCTCCCTTGGAGACATCTAACTTTCACTCAGGACATCAAGAGACATCCATTGAGAAACGTTTTAACGAGCATGTTTTCTTTAAGCACCGTTCGGCCCGTTTAGAATTTGCTCACTTACTTTATCAGCGACATGCGGCTTTGAGTGGCCTGCATTAAGCTTTGGAAGGTTAGAAAGGGTGGTAAATGACGAGGAAACATTTGCAGCATACGGACAGATTTCAGATGAACTTTTGCTTAAAAGCGGGCAGTAGAAACTTGAAAACTTCTTAAAAAGGTAGTAGCACTTCTAAACGATATCTGGTTTCCCCGCAATAGTTTAGTTTTATAAAACCCGAATGTGGGAAATATGAAAAACGTCTGCCAAAGGGAGTATTTCAACTGCCCGAAGTTTAGAATAACGATATTGTCATGTGTATTGAGGGGCTGATGCAACTGTGGCGACTCAAGCAAGTATGAGCGCTCCGTTACTAGCATATACACATCACCTTATTTCCCATGTGACCACGGTTTTGAGCTTATCGAACAGCAGTACATTCACTCGCAACACTAAATTATGCCGATCATTGGAAGGCTGAGCATCCGCCTACTATAGTGAGGTGTGTCTCTTGGACCATATTACGTGCCGTGTGGAGAAGCAGGCACATGCAGTGAAGCGTTGGGGGCCCCTACATAATTCTTGTTGTCAGTTACTGGACAAGGAGGTGACGACCTTGTCAATCCTTACTCAAGTTGTGGCTCGGAATCACGTATGCCACTAACAGGAAAACGTTGAATTTAACAAGTTGCTAGTTAACGGCAACGTCTCTTGAATTTGTCTTGTTATATAGTTGTTTACTCGGCCGCTACCTAAGCGTCATCACAGTTGAAATTGTGCTGGTTCGAGGGAGGGTAACGTGGATTGCTATCTGCAAGATGGGGTCTGCCCTCCGAACCGCCAGTCAAATGCTTACTCGGGAACTTAAATGAAAACGAAAGTCCTTCTGTCTGTTAAAACGTCACCATTTAAGTCGTAGTGGAAGGATCACTGTAAGTCACAACTTGCCAGTTGGACAGGAATTTTTAACAAATACTCTGTGTATGCTGTCGGTATGTTATCAGCCTTTGCGCCTCACAGGAACACATGCCGAGTAGACTTTTCATGCTTTTATCAGAGTATTCTTCACTTTAACTTCTTCGGACTATTCATTACTGCTTACCTTGGATTTGAATTCTAACCATAAGTTTCTTTCACATTATCATCCGTTTTCAGGATAATGGAACTAAGATTTAGATAACGGAATTGAACGTGAATGTATTAGTTTGTTCATAAATTCATTTGAATCTGCGCACCTACGGACATGTGCGCTCACTGAGATGCCTGGTTTAAGGATACGGTTTGGCGGCCAGTATTGATAATGCGTGCTCCACGTAGACTAAATGCACAGTTGCCAAGAAGGTAGACCTTTTTTCTGATGAGCAGAATATTTTATAGGCATGTCTGTCAGCCGTATATAACAGCGAGTCTTCCTCACTCAAGATGGGGGGAAAGAGTGGATAGACGGGAAATATTACTGCCTGCATTCCAGTAAAGTTTGTTTTTTATTATTATCCCAAGTCCGTTGGATGTGAGTGTTGGCATTCAATTCGTCTCCCCCAAAAACCGAAATTGCACCAATTATCCATAGACTGACTACTGTACATCACATTTGGTAGTGTTAGTGCCTTTAAACACTTGGAACAATTCATTTATCTGACTGGTTTCGAAAACTTTCCAATCTGAAAAAAACTTCTGTAGCTGTTTGATGTTTCCATTTTCAAACTTTTGTTGTAATTCGTTTCGTTGTAACAAACAGGGAGTTCAAAGGTTCAACACCTATGTCTCCCTCAAAGAAACTGACACTGAATGATATTAAACTGTCCCAGAGTTAGCTTGGTTAAGCATGTGCTGTGTGCTCTGTCGGACAACCAGATAATTCTGTTTCCTTAACTTTAAAAACAACGCTCACACGTAACTGTTGCGTTCAGTTACCACCTTCACAACTCATGAGTTCCAATAACTACGTTTCATATTTCAGTCTAGTTGTCTTATTAGTCCTCTACCGAGCAGCTTCACCATCTACTCAGGCAGATCTACTACTTTTTGTCTTGGTCAATAAGAGGACACAGACTTTGATGCTCCAAGCTCGGACTTGCATCTGACTCACTGGTAAACTAATGGTTATTATTCTTCATTACAGATGACTGACTTTGAATTTTCACCGCAACCAAATCCACTTGATGTAGGTCCTGTTGATTATTACTTTGTTGTCATTTGTGCGTCCTCATCAGTCTACTTTCTATGGCCCGTAGCATTTCTAGTGAAAACTGCTTGCTTTGCGATTTGAGAGCACTTGTTTTGACTAGCTCCAGTTTCGGTTTAATCGGCTCCAGGGACACTGACCTAAGTTGTGTAGGTTCGTGTTGAAAACTCCTGGAATATAGGGCAGGGTTGGTCCGCAGTCGAATCCTACCTAGGAATGTGACTCCGATCCTCACGGACAACGACGAGGAATCACCACTGGATGGCTAGCAACATTCGAAATGCCCCGAAGCTAAGGCTTTTGGCCCCTTTCTAGACAACGGATTTGTCATATCAGTGTCCGCCCAGACCTGGAAGTATGGTCGTTGCATGAACTGCAACCATTTTTGTATGACCATAGAGCTCTCTTATTTCACATTTAGCGCTCATTGAAGGCCGCTATGTGATTTGATACATGTGGACACACCGAGTGGTCTGAATCCGATATAACAGGAGAATCCTGACTTTCAAAGATTTCTTTCACTTAGGGAACAGCTTTCCACTTAATACTTGTCATAAATGCTTTAGATTGAGAGTAAAAGGAAACTGTGTTCGGTGAACGACACCCACTACCGCATTGGATGAAGACTTGAATGCCAGGCAGACCATAGCAGAAGACACTAAACAAGGCGTGAGACCCTTGCAAGCGTTGTTGAAAGTTGAATAGTAAAATCTCATCTCACTAAGTAAATACCTCTGTGATTTGCAGCTCAGGTTTACTAACTTTTAAGACCGCGCCTCCCTCCGGCCAAACCAAGGTTCTCAAAACATGTTTCTTCAGCCCTAGCATGTTTCATTTCTTGCTAACTTTTCTTTATGCGCCTGCATTGTCCCGGCATCACCAATACTACAACGAAGGAAGGAGCTAGAGTGGCGCTTAGAATACAGATCTTACGCAGGATCATTCATTAGCACAGAACCCTACAAAACGTAGCTTTGTCAATAGGACAGCATCTCGTCTAACAAGCATTTCGGAACTCATTATCAGAGGGGTCGTAAACTATACGTACTCTTTTTTATTTTCCTATCGATCTGTTTTCCAAATCTTCTAACTAAATTTTTTTTTAGAATATAGTATATACTGGGATCAGTACTTCCTGCCCGTTTTCATTAGCATTGGCGAAGCGTATATTAACTGTTCCTATGGTAGTTGCATAGAAATCAGTGCTGCCCTTACCGTTTGGAAGAATTTCCATCCGGACATCAGTTTTAATTCTCTCGTAGCATGACGATTATGTCAACAGGATAGGATGCAATGAGGCTCTCTTTGCCTATCTGACAGCCACAGCTTCAGAAGTAGGGGCGACAAACTACAAAACAGCCTACTTTATTGTGGAGATAGAGTCATCCGACAGAATGGAAGACGCATGCACTTTTCATGTTGATAAGCAGTGTGGAATTGGATAAGAAACCCAGCATTACACACTAGGGTAGGTTTAGTTAGCCGAAGAGTGTGATTATCAATAGTGCCAAAGTTCGCCTGGGCTCACTTTTTTGAAAACTTACAAGCCATTTCGACGCGGTAACTCAGTGACTTTAACACAATCTATGGTATTGCTATTCTGCCTTTTTCACTGTTTTAGGGGACACATAGGGGGTTATTTTGCCAAAAGATGTAAAGCAAGAGAAAAACACAAGAGGCAGTTGAAACGCTGAGGGCTTTGGAATAGCAAATGTGTTCACTATGACCGAGCCCACATATCTCAAAGAAGCTGGAACAGATTCGGTCCTAGTTAATCCCTTTTTGCGTTATAAATTACGAATATCCACCTACAACATTGAACCTATGTCCTTCGTCTTCAGACGTATATCGACCCAGCTTCACCAGTTTCCGATCTACCTGCGGCGCCAACGCAAATGGTTGATTCAAAAAGTTTCCACTTCATCCAGAAGATTGTCAATTCAGTTCTGAATGAGGAGAAGGACAGAAATAGGGCGATTGATAAGAAGTTACCCATGCCATTTCCTTGTCAATGCGGTGTCCTCTGCAGTAACAGGGAGCTTCTGCGCCCAGTTATTCGGGCGTTCGACACCCTTTATCTTGAATATATGGAGCTACACAAGGAATATAGTAAACTTTTTCAGGCCGCATGGATAAGACGCAGTGGAGAAAAAATTTACTATTCCAGACGACATCCACCCCCGGAAGTGGAACCCCGAAGACCTTTTGTAATTGATGAGATATCTCCTTTTGAGGATGTGCTGGTTGATTATTGGGCCAGGGAAGCAGTAAAAACAATACCCGAGGAGGTGACCGGGGCCACGCCCGAGGAAAAACGACTTGAAACCATTCGTTTGCGGATGCGATATAGATCGCGCAGTCTCCTGGGACGTTTGACATCCTGGCTTCTGTCCATCGTGTACGCCTACAGAGACTGCATCTGTTTTAACTGCGACTACCGAGAGGCACTCTTAGACTTCAGGACGGCTTTGACTAAATTGCAGAGGGAATATACTAACGTCTACCTAGAGTACAGTGCTTTACTAAGCGCCCTTCAAGTCATGCGACCGTCACCCGGAGACGACACCAAATACATTCTTGTTCGGGACTTGAATACGCTCCCTCGATTGTCCTTTACGACAGCGGATAAATTGCCAAAGAAGTCGGAGAGCCCACAGAGACCAGTACTACCTCCTCCTCCTACTATTCCTCGAGTGTCGGAACCGGTTGCACAACAAGATGCGGTTCAGATTTTGCTGGATCAGTGCCAATGTGAAGTCGTGACCGCAGACATAACTGAGGACCTCCGCTAGGGAGGCGAACACCGGGATTCGAACAACGGCTGAGAGGTCTTTTTGCAGACAATGGTTGCCACAGCAAGATTATACGTTTTATCGACTTTATACGTTTTATACGTTTTTTATCGACTCACTAGCATGAAAGCACTTGTTCCCGAGGAGGGTTACTATCAGGGGTGAAATAAAATGCGATGAACACCGCTGGTCGATGACGTACAATAAGCGGGAGGTAACGATTTCAATCCCGTAATACTTGCCGGTAGCGCTTTCTGAAGACCTTACGAACCCGGGTACGAAAGGTAAGGTAGTCAGCAAAGATCGAAGAAGACTACACTCTTTCACCGCCGAAAATACATCATAATAAGTCTTAGATGTGAAAATGGGTCGATGACATGCAAATCAAGAAATGTAGTACAGACCGGATTATGAAGTATACGATCAACCGTTAGGAGATTAAATTTGAAATTCAAATACAAAATACGAAAAAATGCGTCGAGGAGAAAAAAGAGAACCCAACAGGGTGGGATTAAGAGTTCCGTATAATCCAGTCTTCGCACACTGAAAAAATTATCAGTAGTCCAAACCATAGTTCAACCGAAAAAATATGAAAGATCTCTCATTCCAAACGACGAATTGTGCGAAATTGTATAAGACAAAACAGAAATACTCCGCAAAATTACTATATACCGAGGTCTGACACGAGAAATTCTGCGCGAAGTGGAGCAAACCTTCAGTCGGGTGCAGACAATAACGCTACCGGCGTCAGCACTACGCATCGACTTGCTGTCATGAACCCAGCTACAAGACGTTTGACTAGAATGTAATCAAACTGACTAGCCGCATGACCGTCGGGATAGTAGATCAACGGATATTTGAGACAATGGAAACAAACGTTGGCGCAAAACAGCCGGCTCTGGGCAGTCAAGACCAGTAAAAGTCTACCAATTGTTCGCCGATAACCAGACCTAACGCAGCCAATAAATTGACCGTTTGGAGAGCCGCCTGCTCTATTCAGACCATTCTTACCTCCAGCAACATGTGTAAGATAAAGGCAAGAATTCCTCTACCAGTTATTGCAGCTCCGAACAGAGCGTATCTTTACCGTGAAGGTCAGCAGCTAATGATGACACGCAAGCAAAAGTGACAAAAAGCGAGGACGAAAAAAAAACAAAATGCAATAGTCTCAAGTAAGGTCTCATCAAAAAGATACTAATAAAAACAGCAAAAAGACTAATACAATTTCCTGAAGGTAAACAGTTACCAAAAAAGGGTAGATCCTCGATGGAGAACACGAAGGGCCTTCTCCGGCATCTTAATAAGGAAATTGGCAAATCATAACACGCAACCTTACGGCAAGGTACATGTAGATGGTCGCCGCAATAATGAGGGAAGTCTCATCGCTTGCGAGCAGATCATCCGAAACGTTAGAGGATAAGTCTTCGAGTATCTTTTCTCTAAAGTTGTGTACCTTTAGAAGGAAAAACTGATTACTTACTTGGAAACTATGCCGGATTGTAGTCCGGCCAAAAGACGAACCAGTCTGTAGCTTAGAACTTCGTGATTTTCCGTTATTTCATTTATAACAACATTGTATTTTCGTTGAGCTATATAAGCTCGGTAGGTCAAGAGTTCAACTTTTTGGCGTATTTGAGGATCCGTGGACTACAAAATAAGAGGGTACGGCTAAATAATAAATACCGAGGAAAATCTGACGAAAATTTACGACTAATAGAACATGCGGATGGACATGGCAAAAAGGAGCACCAGTGACAGAAAAGGACAACACCGCGCACCAAAAACTGTGGATAAATGCCGAGGAATTTTGACAAAAATGGCCATCATAAACCAGACAAGTATGTTAACCATCTATCAAGGTCCTTTGCATCAAGCAGACCGGACTTAACTAGAACGACAGGTCCGTGACCACTCCTGCGGTAAATAAGCCAACATCTTCCGAACGGGTAAATCGACAACGACAGAGTAGATTGGAGCATCCATTTCCGACTTATTGCTCATCATCAACTAACCTCACCCAGTTCCAGGTTTGTGGGACCTAAAATTCGGGCCCGTGTTCTTCGGTCATCAGATACTATGGGATAGAATAGAATAGGCTTATTATAACACCTCTTGGGTGCTGTTGGTCTCCTTCTATTCTATTGTAAGTTCTTATTGAGTTCAACGCTTTATCCTCGAGTCATGGGCCTGCTGTCCTGTCAGTCGTGATCAGGTAACGAAACATCCTCGTCTCGTTGCGTCTAAGGGTTCACTCTAGAGCTCTCGCAGGCAGTCTTAAAACGACAAATGGTATATGCATAAGGAAGTAACGACAAAACAATGGAGATTGGGGACGGCCATTTCTGGCTTATTAGTCGTTGTCAGCCGGTCTTGCCAAAATCCAAGTTTACAGGACCCGAGATTCGATCAGTGAATGCAGCTTCCCCACTGTTACTATTCCCGATCGCAACCGGAGGGAAAATGAGCTTGTGGCTCAATATTAGAGCGTTTGACCTAATAACGCTAGATGACCAAAGAACGTGAGTTCGAATATCAGGTCGTGCTAATTTGGGGTTGGGTAAGGCTGACCGACAACGGCTAATAAGTCAGAAAATTCATCTCAGTCTCCCTTGCCTTTGTCGGTACTGACCGCTGTGACTACCTGCGAAGACGCTATGTTGACCCCCAAGACACAACGGGACGAACGTGTCCCGTAACCTGATCAGCGAATACAGTCCAAGTATAGACCAACAGCATTTTGCGGCTTTCCCCTCTGACTACTTTGATCGCCTTAAAAATCCCAACACTTAATCTCTCCATTTAATCAGTAAGTTTGGAGCTTGACAGTATAACTGTTAATATAAACCATCAGCAGATTGGTAAGGCCAAAGTAAAGGATTGTTGGAAGAAGGAAAGGTGATTTAAGAGTGCAGTGGCAAGTACGTGCACACAATAGTGGGATATCTGCCGAAAATCGTTTTAGTCAAGCATAAACATCTGTTTGGCGGAGAGGAGACTGTAGTCAATCTGGTTACCAACGCCATGTCGTTGCCTCGAAGGACGGAGATGGAACTGTGTCCTATCGTAGATATGAATGCCATGCTCTTTTAAACGGCCGTTTCCCCGACAGGAATATATTACGGTAAGAATAGGACGACAGATATACAAGGGTTTCTAAGCCCATCGTAGATAAGATAGGGTTCGTGCGGGAAGGCGAGTCCAGTGCGACGGCTTAGTGTTATCAACCGCTGCTCGCATAAGAGCGGCTTTATGTGATGCCTCGACCAGGCTCTTAGTGAAAAATGTTAGCGGGTACGACGGGGGTGGTGTAATGTTTCCACAAATAGAATCGATCATACACTTGGTATCCTCAGAAGCCGCAGACAGATCTAAACACAGCTTCCATTAAATTATCCCTGATATACTTCACACGGCTAACCCAACACCATCAATTTAACAACTTAAACACTCGTGTTGCCTTAACATCCGCATAGCCACAATCAAAAGATTTCACTCGAGAGGCAAAAATAAACGCATACTAGTTGCATTTTACTCACGGACAAAGGTCTAGATAATCCAACAAATTTCTGAATTAAATAGAAAACTGTGAAACCCAAGCTCAGTCATAGGTCCAGACTTAACACCCATGCAAAGACGTAAACTTTCGGCAAAGGACGCTGGATGTAAACACGTTAATTAGCACTTCGCTTCATCAATTGATCATCTAGCAAGTGCTTCTAATTCTGGCACCAATAAAAAAGTGCACAGCCCAACCCGGACATAGTGATAAACATACCACCCCCTAGATCAACCTCCAGCTAGTGCATCTGACCCTAATACCCATGATAAGGAACGCGTAACTGCAGAAGCCGTTAGGATTGGTAGGCGGAAACAAAAAAGGAGGCACATCAAGGTGCCCGCACTCAACCAGAACAGGACAAAGGCGTAGATCCTGGTTCCAGTCACGTGACACCGCCTGATAGCGGTATAAGTTTTACTACAACGCCCACAAACGATTAACCAGTGGAAGGAACTGACCGCCAAACAAGACTTACAAACCAAAATGCCTTACTAAGTACACCAGCACAATCAAAACGCCCTAAATATGTAGACCTAAGAAATAGGGGTTCTCCAAACCCCAACTAGAAAAAAATAAGCTTCTACAACAGCACCTCTACTCCCCAAAATTCACCTGCATGGCATACGAAGAAGCCAAGCAACTCTAACATTTCAAACTTTTTAGCACCTAATAACTACCCACAAATTACTTAAGCTTACTTTCCCAAATCAAACCCGTTTAGATACATTTACCACCTAGTGAATCCACCCCTCCATACGCACACTCAACCATATACACTAATCCATGCACTCAAACTCCGCCATACGCATCGTCATATCCTCCAAGAGTCGCACAGTTCCCTTTCTTTAGCACATCACTCAATCAAAGCATCCTTGGAAATCCGCTTTTTCACAACAGCCTACCTTTTTCATATCCAACATCCTAAGTATAGTTCTTACAGATAAATAACTAAACAGATAATTTTTATTAAAGACCCGTCCGGGTCCCAGCAAGGCAAGTAAAAATTAATGTTCATATGAATTTTAGAGGAGGTAGGCAAAATCTGTACAATATGCAATTTATAGTTTCCGAATTAGTAGTCCGTTAAGAAAAATGATGAGCGAGCAGTGAATAAACTCCACTCAAAGACTAAAAATGGTTGGATTAACTTTACAGGAGAAAAAACCGTCGCTCAAAATAACACAGAAATGCGGGCAGGAATGGCCTGCACGTGGCGGTGCATAACGGATTATAATCGAACTTCGTCAAGGCAGAAATAAATGTCACCCTTGAAGGGTAAGTATTCGGGTTGGACAGGACTGGTATGAATGTCGCATTGCATACGGCGTCCAGAACGGACATCTTCAGGGAAGAATTGATACGCCGAATGAGATTATTCGCGTCAAGGTGCGAGACGAGAGGAACCCAGGCGCAATCGGCCACAGTCCGCTTCAAGCCCATTCGAGGAGTGGGAAAAGGGAGGTACGACCGAACTGCTAGTAGACGACGAATATGGAGGTTTCCGCCGTGAGCGTCGACAGACCGCTTGAGGTCGAAATGAGAGAGATGACATCAAGAACCGCGAAAATCGTCGCTATGGGGGAGGATTGGTAGCAGTGGACTTGGTAACCAATTCAAAACAGGGGGTGTGAAGATATAAATGAGGGTTTCAACTTGATCTACCACTAAATCCACCACTAAATCCCAGGAGGACCCTTATTAATTACCAGTAACTTAGTCGATTACATAATTTCTGGTGAAAGATTATTCCAAAGGAAGGCATATTTGGAGGCAAAAAAGAGGGAGCGCTTAGATGTAGTGCGAAGAGGCGGCAGCGGAATAACCATGGAGGAGTTCCGCGTGGCATAAGACCGATCTCACGGAGTGAGAGTGTCAATGAACGGAAGATGGCAGCTAGAGTTGATGCGAAAAAGGAAGCAAAGGCCAACTTCGAGTCTTCTAATCCACAAAAACTTTCTGTTCGCCAGCTGACTTCTCTGGGTATAAGAAGTACCGGGTGCAACTTGAGAGAACAGTTTCCGTGTGAAAACCCTTTGAACATTTTCAATGTTATTACGATCATAGGCGTTCATTAAACCAAAGAAAGGACAGCAGTGTTTGGGACTGGAAAAACAGACATTTGATAAAGTCTTAGCTTCATTTTCGGAAGGACAAATTATGTGATATGAACCCACACATCTGCACGGCTTTGGCAGAGATTCTATCTGCATGAGGGGATCTACCAAGCTAATTTGTATAACTTAGACCTAGGTCCTTTATGGTGAAGCATTCTGAGAGTGAGTTATTCTGACAAATAAAGGGACCAGGAAGTTTGGCAGGACCAAAAGACATGAAATTAAACTTGGATGACGAAAACTCCATCTGTCATGCTTAACTCCATCTGCGTAAGCGTAGTAAATGGGCATCAATTTTTTCAACACAAACGCTTGCGGTGTCCTTAGAATATGAGTAAACACACTTGAGGTCATCGGCATAAGTAAAAGTTTGCGAATTTCCGAGTTCAGTCGAAATATCATTGATGTGAAGATGGAAGAGTAGCGGACTCAGAACCGTGCCTTGAAGTACGCCACTCTTGATTGGGTAAGGTATTGAGTGGCTATTACCGATCATGACTTTCTGATATAGGTTGGACAGATAGGACCTGATGAAGTCGAGTAGAGGCGGCCGAATGCCGAGGGCTTCCGATTTAACTAAAAGACGTCTATGGAGCATCTTGTCGAAAGCTTTGCTAAGATCAAAGTAGATAACTACTGCTGACTGCTGTTCATTACGAAGATGCTTTGATGGGACCCCGACGGGTCTTTAATAAAAAATTATTATTAAGTGAAAAACTTACAAAATGCCAAGTGCAAAGTTTTGCATGGTTGTTCAGGCAAAAATTCATGCTGAGTAGAGCCCAGAAGCTGATTAACTAGACAGAAGTCAAGCATTTCATTTAACATTATCCTTTCAAGAAGCTTCGCTAGAGACGGTGTTTTGCGTCCGCCCGGATAGTTACCGACATCGGACCGAGATGCAGATTTGAAGACAGGAATGATAATTGACGTTTTTGCTGTTTCAAGAAAGAATCCTTTTAAAATATAAACTGAGTATAAATGACTTAGCAATGTGGGAAGGTCGGATGCTTGTTTAATAATCGAATTCGGAATTCCGTCCGTTCGAGAGCAGTGTGAGTTTTTCAAACGACTTATGTGTTTCATAATGAGATCTGAGGAGACATCGGTTTGTTCTCAGTATCCTATCTGAAAGTGAACGAAAGGTAGGGACTGGTTCGGAGTCAGTATTAAGGTGTTTTGCCAAGAAGGCACTAAACAACTCCGCCTTGTCAGTGTCATCGATGCGGAAGATTTTGTTATCTTTTAGCAGGGGTGGAAGTTGGTGACCACGCTTAGAGTAGGACCGCTGACGGAACATGTTGGCGACAGATTTGCCAGGGTTCGAATCACTGAGGGCTAGTGATTCTCTTTGCCTTTCGCGCGCTTGGCATTGCAAAAATCTCTGTGATTCTGAGATGAACTGACAAGGAACTAGTGGATGGGTCACGCAGCTGTCGTCTCACCTTCTATAGTCTGTTGTGAAGAAAACGAGGAACAAGGGAATTTGAAGAATTAGGCTTGAGATATCTATGCGGCACAAATTCTATGAAGGCCTAGGAAACATTGGGCATGACATCAGGAAGAATGGTTGCATTGCTACATAAGAGAAAACCACACCAATCCAATAATCGAATATAGTTGTCTATTAAGTCGTTATGCACGCAATCGTAGTTTTGGTAAGTCCGAACAGTGCTGGTCTTTTTTGAAAAGACAAGCGGTAAGCAACAATGAATTAATACGTGTTCACTATCAAAGAGGTCCTTTTTGAAAGTAACAAATAGAGGGGCAATGTCACTGGTAAAGATTAGATCTAAAATCTGATTATCTCTTGTTGGCACCAGTTGGGGCCAGTTAGAAAAGTTGACAATACCTTGGAGGATCTGGAATCTAGGTGGATAGATATTAGAAACTCAGTCATTTCAGAAAGGATAAATTCCCCAGTGATTATTTTAACATCGAAATCAACTTCCGAAATTTATTTAAGGATTTCGCACAGTTGTGAATTATCACTGGCTGAAGAGTTTGAGGGATTGTAGATACAGCTAATAATTGCCTTTCTTTGTAGCGAGGGAATAACAGATGCAAAGCAGAAGTTTCCGATAAATGAGGAAACATCCAAGTAATAGGCTGAGTGCTTTAGGTAGGATTTAAGATAAGGAGGACAACCGCCTCCACGCCTGGTCATGCGGTCTTGACGGTAAAAATCGAAGTCATCTAGGAGAAGGGTAGAGTCAGGAATTAGAGAATGGGTCCAACATTCTGTTACGCATATAATATCAGGCGACATTTCGAGAGCAATGAATCTGATTTGGGCCATCTTGCTTATAACAGACATGGCATTCAATAATATAATAGCTAATGTGTTTCGAACAGCAGTGCTATTGTCGACGGTATTTTAAAAAATTGGAGGCCGATATGGAAACTGTGAATTAATGATGCTTGGAGAATAAGTGCTAGTTAGTCTAGAGTTACTAACGTGCGAGGATTCAGCAAGAGAAGGCTGAGTATGAGACCTAAAGGATGTGGGGATTTAGTTTACGAGCATTGGAATACTAGGAAAGTTAGAACAGGGATGGGGTCGTTGGTAGTTAAATTGTGCAAGAAGGGGAGGAGGAGGGAGTGTAGAAGGAAAGCAGGGGCTGGTGGGGGTGGGAAGGCAGCTATAAGAATAAAAGGATGGGAAACCAGGTCTACGTTGGAAGTCAAAGAAGTAAGGCAGACTTGCCTGATAGCAGTTGGCCTTAAGTGGTGGGAAGCCTGAACTAGATTGGGGCATAAATGACTTAGGGCAATTCACGTATGAATTATTTACTGGATCTATAGTAGGGCTTTCGTAAGTAACCGGTACGCAGGACAGAGAATTATTTGGGGATATAATTGGAGCTGAGGGGTTTGTAAACGAGGTGGACTGTAAAGGCTTGGTAGATCTAAGAGAAAGCGGCATACCCCTAAATGGAACTGTACTACCTATCTTTTGGGTTGGAGTGTGATTTGGTTTTAGAGTCTCACCGTTCTGAAGCCAAGCCACAGGTGACTTAACTGTAGACCTTACAGCACCCAGTTGAACAGGGGAAGTTATCAGTCTAGCTGATGTGGACGGATATTTATGTGTCCCAGCGGGGCTATCCGGAGGATACGAAACGACAAATTGGGCTGCTGCGGTTGCTGCTGCTAGTTTAGGGGCAGGCAAATGCGTCAAGTGGCCTGAGTGAGATGGAGGTGTAGGAGTAAGGGGATGGAGGGAGTCAGATGTCGCAGGAGTAGGACAGGCTGAATCCTCCCGGCCACTTGTATTATGACCGAGTTGGTGAGCATTAGACTGAGAAGCAGTGGGTTTACGTGAGAAGAGGGACCCGATTCTACGCTCCATAGGAGTAAGATCGTGACAAAGGAAAAATTTTGCATTTCCCAGGTACGCAGTGTCACGATCTCGATGAGCAAATATTGAGTCGATCTCGAGGTGGATAACAACTTAACTAAGCCGGGCGGATTTTTCTACGGGAGAGCATGCGTTTTGCATCGGCTATTTTGTATTTAAAACCACAAAAATACAGAAAATTAGTCGCAACATCAATTAGCCGAACAAATTGAGGAACATTTTTCAACAGGGCGTTGTGAGCACGCCTTTGTCTATCACTAGATTCACTGGTGATCGGGTTAATAAGCGAGTCAAGACGTTTGCATTCTTGAGAGGGATTATCGGAGAAGTTCCGGTCGAATAATTTTTAAGAATTGAGTGTAGACTGTCAAAACTTAGTATAAAATCATTGCAGTTGTAAAGTGCAGACAGATTAAGCTGCCTGTCGTTTACAGCGGGTGACGACTGACTAACAATACCTTCTGACATAGATTTAGGTAAGCCTTCTGAATTAGATTTAATTAAACCTACTGACTTATATTTAGTTAAGCCATGCTTACATACAGAGGCCGAGAGCTTTCGTCGACCTGGGACTTTTACTGTCACTTTATCTCGAGGCCAATTGTAATTAAAAAACTTCTGATAGACCAGGTGACTGAATGTCAGCTAGAGGCTAACGATGTAAAGATACATTACCCAGTTAGAGAGAAATCGAATGCACAAAATGTGAATTAGAGGGTGCGACTGGTGATGACAGGCACAGACTGGCAGAACTCAAAAGGAGATG